GGGTTGATACTAACAATGGTAACGTTACCACGGCTTGGGCAATGCCCGATGTTCTTTCTGCATTGCCTTGCTCCGCAAGGGCGGGCAAAGAGTACTCCGTGCGTAGATCCTGTGGCGAGCCCGGAATGCTGCTTGGCAGGGTGGCGCAAATGTGACGTGGGGTTTTGGGCTTTGCCTCGTGACATTTGAGGTCCTTGTTGGTTGAAATGTGTTTCTGTCCCCAGACATGTTATGTATTGCCACCTGGAAAGTTTGTTTTGCTCCCCGGAAAAAAAAAAAACTGACGCATTTTCCGGGAACCTTTTTGGTTGCGCATAGCTGTTGCGCCTTTTTGCGTTGGACAACAAGTTGTGTTAGCCCCTTCATGGTTGTTGTTGGGAAACATTTGACATTTTTGCTTATTGTGGTTTAGTGGCAAATCCCCACTGAACTGCTATATATATATATATATATTTTTTGCGCCCCCTTCCAGCGTCAACCAAGCCTTTAGAAATGTCGAAGCCCTAGTAGAATTATGTTTTTGCAATACCCTCTTTTTGGGCTGGACATCACATGTTTTTTTTTGGTTTTTTTCCCATCAACATGTATACAATTGTGGCTGACGAGTCCAACTTGTTTTTCAATCAACAATCCCCATTATCTTCGGCCATCATTATCTTTGGCAACCACAAGTTTTCGCAGGGGATTTGCCATTTGTTTGAAGAGAAGGATCGCTAAAGAGAATGGGGCAGGTACGGCTAGGTTTGTACCAAAATCAGCACCCTTCAAGGCAACCCACACACACACACACACACACTCGCAGGGTCCCAGCAAGGTCCCAGCAAGGTCCCCTTACGACGATGAAAATCAGAGGCAAGTGGCTCCTTCGCAATGCTCTTGTGATTCCTCGCTTGCTGTTTGAAGTGCGCTTCGTGCTGGGTTTCTTCTCATGACTCATGTGTACGTGTTGCTGGCCGATTCGTTGTTAAGTTGTCCTTTTGTGTTGCTACCTTGCTTGCGGTCTTGCCAAGTCACCACCGCGGGAGAATCTAGTAGCACCCCTGTTTGGGACTGCAACTTTCAGGGAATCCTTTGGGACCGGCTTGTGCTGACTAAGGTCGACCCCACATGAACTCAAACCCCTGGTTGATTAAGAGGGCGGCAGCCTTCCGATCAGACCTGGCGTCCCGAGGATTGGCCGAGATCTTGAGAAGGAGTGAGATGGCTGCGGTGCATCGATTTGATTTATTGCCTCGATCTGTTGGTCTCACCGAGCGGTGACTCCATGGGAACATAGGCTGCCCCGGGCGCTTTGCAGCCCTGTGTGGGCGGATGTTTCTTCTCTACTTTTGGTTCCGGGTTTCGAACATCCAGTCAAATTTGACCCATCCAATCCGCGTTGGCCGTGGTTGTTTTTATTTGTATTTTTATTTTTTCAAGAGTCCACAGGCCAGCCAGAGCGGCTTCCGCTTTGATTTTTGGTTGGACAGGTCCGGTGTGACCTTTGCCTCTGAAAGCAACACATGGGAGGCTAAACGCTAAAGCAGTACCTCTGCAAAGCAAGTCCCTTGTAACAACGGCCGATCCATTCGACCTTTTCGAGACCCGCTATGCCCATCGGCTCACCTCATGCATGCCAAAATGGGCGTGCCCTGAAATTGAGTCCACGAATTGGTGGGTTTCTGGTAGTTTCTATTGCTTCCTTTACCATACCCTAATAATTGTCTCTTCTGAGCAAACAAATGTGACGTTTGCTTGTTTAAGTAGTCCACACTGGGGCCCCCCAATTCTAACGGACACCCATGTTCTCTTTCCGCGGAAGCGGAGTTTCGAGTCAGCCTTCAGAATTGTAAGCTGACTGACGACTAGACCTCGGGCAGCGTGCCGCATGGAAAGGAGCGAGAGGGTTGGGGTGTACGGTCAGCGAGATAGGGACATTTGTTTTTGTTTTTTTTTGTAAATAGCAGACCCTTTGGCCATTTATATAAGCGGGGAGTTGTGTCCGCGGAGGGGCTCCTTTTTAAAGCTCGTAGCATTTGTTTGTTTTAACGGAGGACCATCAGGTTGGCAAGTTGATCGCTTGATGGGTGTCTGCTGGTAAAGAGATACTGTTTCATACTGGGCCGCTATGAGTTTCAATACGGCAACCCCAAAAGAGTATATACCTTCAAGAAACGCACCCATATGCGACCTCAAGGCCTGCCATGTTCAACAACACAGGAGATGCTCTGTTTAAAGATACACTTTTCAAGGAACGAGTCGGTTTGGGGGCGTCTGCGATTTTGGATGGACTCAAATGTTGGTCATATTGGGGATGGACGAAATCTAGCACCACCTATGAAGCGCCGGGAATGGTTCGATTCCACTGTAAAATCAAAGACCAGACCCAAAGGGACCCAAACACAACCCCAAAACAGGCCTGGAACCGGCTGGCAGCTTTTGGTGTCTTCGTGGTTCCCCTTCAAAGACTGTCCATTTGTTTTAGTCCGGGATGTCTTTCTTTGCAGTTGGTACCCCTTTT